GGGGTGCGGAGGGAGGGTAGCAAGTGGTAAATTCTAGCTTGGGGGGGGGTGTTACATTTTTTTAAAGGCAGAGAACTTTGGTAAATGGGATGAGAATGGAACCTGATTCTTTCTGGCTGAGGTGTGTAGCCCGTTGGGCAGTAAGACTTCTTGTGTCTTTTTTCATTGGGTAAACAGTTGACCCGGAACATACTATTCCTAAAGGGGTATGTGGAGAAACTGTTTTGCAGGACTCTGTTTCCTTCCACATCTGTGGCGCAGACGCTCCGTGCCTCAAGTCTCTGCCTTGCTGTGCTCCTTATTTCCCGACTCCTGGTATTTAACCCCTTTTTCAGTCATTGACCAATTGTCTGTAAGTCTCTCCAGCTGGAGGATTGGCACCCCAGCCCCTCCGTCTCGCTCAAGAGTGTCTTACAGGCCCTGCCTCTGAGCTGCGGCAGGAACAAGCAGTCGTGCCTTCACAAACTCATGGGGGCGGGAAGGTTCAGCTGCCTTCTCCTCTTCCTTTTTTCGCTTGGTGGAACAGGGTTTGAGTCAGGCGTGGTTTCTGGGGAACAGAAGTCAGAGTCAGGCATGGTTTGTAGGGGGAACAAAAGTCAGTCCCAACTTTACTTAGAAATGTATAATAAAGACTAAGGCACGTGCGTGCACGCACACAAGATTTCTCTAGTCAGTAGAACTGAGTAAAACAGAAAAAACAAATCAGGAAATCACATGCTGTCTGGCTCTGAATTAGATTTGTCCATAGCACATGTTATTGTGAGGGCAGGTGCCATTTCCTTGGGATTTCAAGTGCTCAGAGAAGTCCCATTAGTGGTGATGGTGACCCAAAATGTCTCACAACATTCTCCCTGTAAGTTCTGTCTCAGCTTAAGTCTGAGATTCTGTCATGCTGCCCCCGTAAACAAATGAGCTGACAAGACAGGGATCCCTGACGTGTAATGGTAGAAAACAGCAGAGAAACACCAAGGGAAGACAATCAAAGATTAAATGCACTTGAAATGTCTGAGTATAGGATATATTAAGTGTTTAAATTACAAATAAACATCCATAATAAGTTGGTGCTCCACAACCAAAAACAAATACAATATTCCCAAATATAATCATATGTGCTCATGGCATATCATACTTCAATACTGAGATACAGGGAAACATAACAGTTATTGTGCTCACAGGTGCTGGTAACAAGGTATGCACATAAATCCAACTGGTGGAAGAACTTTGGCAGTCATAAATCCAGCAGAGGATGACCGGTGAAAAATGTCCGATAGCCGAAAACGCCTTTCCTAGGTATATAGACGTTTCAATTTCTCTTCTTCTAGATAAGCGGCTGAATAAGGGAACCTGATTTCAAAGATAATTACATTACCAGTTCTTTTAGCTATATTGAATCCCAGGGTTGTTGAAGTATGATATGCCATGAGCACATACTATTATATTTGGGAACATTGTATTTGTTTTGGGTTGTGGACCACCAACTCATTACAGACGTTTCTTTGTAATTTTAAATACTTACTTAATATATCCTATACTCAGACATTTCAAGTGCATTTAATCTTTGATGGTCTTCCCTTGGTGTTTTTCTGCTGTTTTCTATAAACAAATGAAACAGCATACAGAAAGAGAAACTGAAACTGGGATTATGACTCTAAGAGAGAAATCTTTCCACTTCTTTCCTCTTGTGTGTAAAGTCACAGCCAATTTATGGTGACCCCGTAGGGTTTTCAAGGCAAGAGACCAACAGGGGTGGGCGGGCCCTGCTTAGCTTCTGAGATCTGGTAAGATTGGGCTAGCCTAGACCACCCCCAAGCAAAGAGGAGAAAGAAATCACCACTTCTTTGCAGAGTAGTGGACACCGCTGTTCTGCATAAGACTCAAGTCAGGAAAGTGGGCGAGCAGGTGATTGGATCCCCCTTCCTTTGTTCTGGGAGACACTCATCTGGTTCAAGATGGCGGAACAAAGTAGGCTGTGAACTCTACTCCCTTTTCCCACATGAAACATCTTCTCCTGCACAAAAATACAAAATTGCCCATCTGGATTTTTTTTTGTTGATAGTTTATTTTTATTTATTTATTTAGACATTTTTACCCCGTCCTCCCCGCAAGCGGGCTCAGGGCGGCTTACAAGGGGCATGAGCCCATACATAAAAACCAATAAAACCATATAAATTAATCAACACATTACATTCAACAATAAAGTGCAACAATAAGGTGCTGCCATAGACAAGATCTTAAGTTGTTATAGTGGCGGCTTCAGCAACCCACAATTGGGTATCACTGTCCAATAAATAGTCCGAGCCCGTCCGCTGCTCTCATTGTCACATGGATCTCATATCACTGGATTCCAAGGGCACTCCCGACTTAGATAGTATCACCACCGTTGGTGAATGTTTCCTCCTTTCTTCCAGGGCTCTGTGTCCTTCGAGGAGGTGGCCGTGTATTTCACGGAGGAGGAGTGGGCTCTGCTGGATCCTGGCCAAAGAGCGCTTTACATGGAAGTCATGCGGGAGAATTTTGGGACCGTGGTCTCTCTGGGTAAGCAAGGGGCTGTGGCTGCTGAGCGGAAGGCCCTGAGTCATTTTGTGAGTGTCCCAAGAATTCTCTGTTAGAGATCCCTGACTGTTCTTTATTTCTGGAAGAAGAAAAAAAACCATTTCACTTCTTAAAGATCCCTAGAGAACAAATTACTCTTTACACTGCAAACTACCCTGGTTGATCCATTAGTACAGGGGTCCCCAACCTTATTGAGCCTGCAGGCACCTTGGGAGTTCTGACAGAGCATGATGGGCGCAGCCACAACATGGCTGCCATAGCTTACCTTCGGTCTCACAGTGAAGAAGTTCCTTGTGCTGTGGTAGTAGCTGCTGCCAAAGCCATCTCTTTAAAGAGCTACACAGCCAATCAAATCGCCAGTGGCCCATCAGAACTCTTGCTGGGCAAAAGCCCCACCTGGCCCCGCCCCTTTCTAAAAACACTTGGCAGGTACCGAGAAAGGTGTCGGTGGGCACTGTGGCGTCTACGGGCACCACGTTGGGACCCCCCGCTCCAGGATCTTTCAGTGGCTTTTGGTATCACTAATCTTTGGCTCCTGAGTTGTCTGGAAGATATTAAATAAATAGGGTACATGCAAAAAGCCCCACCCCCTGCTCCCAGCAGCCCTCAGTGAGAGGAAGAAGCAGCCTCCCCCCCGGCCCCCTGGTTAGTCCAGGTGGCTCTTGCTGAGTGGTATCCTCCTCAGGGCTTACAGTTTCTTCTGTTAAAGGTTCTCTTTTCGGCCTTTTGGCTAAGAAGTGTAAACATTATCTACCTAAGTCATCTATTCTTATCAGTTTAATCTTCTGTTAAAGGAGCCAAGTCCTCCTGTCCCTGGCTGTCAAGCTCTGCTTCGGAGGCCACGTCGGGGGCAGGCATGACACCCTCCTCTGTGAGGACACATCGTCCCGTCCCCCCCAATAGCTAGCAATCCAAAACTGGTATAAACCCAACTCTTCTTTTGCCTCTGGGTTCCCATAGCGTTCCCCCATGCTGGTCAACAATTACGGGAAACAGCTAAGTGAAGTCATCCAGAGATTTGGTTGGGTTGTCACCAGTATGCAGGTAACAGCAGATAACATTCCATATGATCCTGGGGAAACTGTAGGAACTATAAACTGGTGCCAGGAGGCAATTTGGGTTTGGAAGAGGGCTAAGAAAGTGCTAAGAAACTGAAGCTGAATCCTGACAAGATGGAAGGGCTCCTGGGGGGTGGAAGGACTAACCCAGTTTTTGAGGTGTCCCCTGCTTCAGATGGATTGTTGTCCCCTTGAAGGAACAGGGGTTACTGCTGGACTAACCCTACTACTGCATCAGTGGTTGATGGAGTTGTCCAGGGGTGCCTTTCACCTGCCTTGACGGCTTAACCAGCTGTAGCCTTTCCTGAGTAGAAAAGATCTGGCCATTGTGGTGTATGCCCCGTGAACATATAGATTAGATTACTGCAGTCTGTTGTATATGCGGCTGTAGTTGAACATCGTTTGGAAGCTTCAGTTGGTTCAGAAAGCTTCAACCAGGATGTTGGTTGGATTAAATCATATGGACCGCATCACTCCAGTCTTGATCCATCTACTAAACTTGTGTCCAGGTGGTGTTCAAGGTGATCATATTGCCCTCAGAAGCCCTGTATGTTTTGAGACCAGCGTACCTTAAGGACTGCCCACTTCCCTACAAACCTAACCGACCACTGTGATCATCTTCTGTTGCCCTGCTGGGTGCCCCTTTTGCTTTCTGAGGCTGGATGGGCAGGAAGCCCAGAGAGGACCTGTTCAGTTACAGTTCTCCAGGGGGGGGGGGAGGTGGTAGTGGTGGTGATGAGGATGATGATTGGATTTATACCCCGCCCTTCACTCGGAGTCTCAGAGTGGCTTACAGACCCCTTTCCATTCCCCTCCCCACAACAGGCACCCTGTGAAGTAGGCGGGGCTGAGAGAGCTCTTTCCAGAACTGCCCTTTCAAGGACAGATCTTGTCAGAACTATGGCTTGCCCAAGGTCATCCAGCAGGTGCAAGTGGAGGAGTGGTGTTCCCTCTAAGCCGTGGAGTCTTGTGAGCAAAAATTCTACTTTGTGAGCTACTGGCATTAAAGTTGTGAGCGAGCAATTTGGCTGCTCCATAAAATTAGTTTGCTCTGGAGCCATCCTTCCTGAGCCAAGGCAAAAAGGTGTGAGCCGGAGTCTAAAAAACTGTGAGCTACACACCAACTCAGCTTAGAGGGAACAGTGGTGGGGAATCAAACCTGGTTCTCCCAGATTAGAGTCCGCGCACTTAACCACTACACCAAACTGGTGTAGCGCTCAGTTTACTGAGTTGCTCTGTGTATTCCAGATGAACCAAAAGAAATTAGCTGTGCGTAGCATCAATACCAGTTTCAAAAATCAGTAAATAAAGAAAAATTCATTTATAGACAAATAAGCAAACCATTTACATTGACACAGAAAGTACTCTATCTTTCTGTGTTATACCTCTGAGGATACCAGTCACAGCTGCTGGCGAAACGTCAGGTACTACAATGCCAAGACCACAGCCATACAGCCCAGAAAATCTACAACTAATAAACCATTTATACAATTTCCGAATCCTAAGCAAAATTATTCATTCAATATAGAATTCATAATCAGGGCATAAATGATTAAACGTCCTATATATGGCTCACAAAGTCCAAAACACTCCAAGGTGCTCAATCCCTCCTAATGGACAATACGTTCAATATTCTCATAGTGAATGTTGTGAAGAAGAAGAGAAGAGATTGAATTTATACCCCGCTCTTCACTACCCAAAGGTGTCTCAGAACGGTTTACAAACTCCTTTCCCTTCCCCTCCCCACAACAGACACCCTGTGAGCTGTAGGCCCTTATCCTCCTTTACCTCAATCTAGATGCTGAGGTCATCTGCACACTGTATCAAGACTGGTTATCAGAGCCACACAAAGAAGTTTGAGGATTTTAACTCTGTGTATGTGAAGGCATAGCCCATTTTGAAATTGATATTGGAAACTGAATACGCTGAGACTGATTTTCAGTCATTGGTTCCAGCTTGTTAAAGCCATATTGGTGAAATGTGGAGCATATCTTGCTAAAGCCATATTGGTGAAATCCGGAGCATATTGAGGAGGTTGGCAATCCCTTAGTTCTTCTTTTGGAATCATTCCAGTGTTCCTTTTTGGAACTGTTGGAGCAGATATCTTCTGGAAACTCGCTTTCCCCCTATACACTGTGAAGCATATTGTCCATTAGGAGGGACTGAGCACCTTGGAGTGTTTTGAACTTTGTGAGTCATATATAGGACATATAGGTGTAATCATTTATGCCCTGATTATGAATGCTATATTGTATGAATAATTTTGCCTAGGATTTGGAATTGTATTGATGGTTTGCTTATTTGTAAATGAATTTTTCTTTAATTATTGATTTTTGAAATGAGTATTGACGCCACACACAACGAATTTATTTTTGTTTATATACTGTGTGTCTCACTATTATATTGGATTTTCTGTATGTTCCAGAAACAGATGATGGGGAACCACTTGTGAATGGAGAAAGAGAAGAAGAGATGGAGGTGGATGAAGAAATTGTAAATCAAGGCAGAACCCAAAGGGAAGGGGAGCAGCACCAGCAGAAGAAATCATTTGCCTTTTCAGGTAGGAATCTGCAGGACACTGGAAAGAGCTTCAGTCAGAGTCTACATCTTACTACTCACCAGACGACTCACACCAGGAAAACATATAAATGCTTGGAATGCGGAAAGAGCTTCAGTCGGAATCACCATCTTATTTCCCACCAAAGTATTCACACTGAGGATAAACCATATAAATGCTTGCTGTGTGGAAAGATCTTGATGCAGAGAACAGACCTTCTTTATCACCAAAGGATTCACACTGGGGAGAAACCATATAAATGCTTGGAGTGTGGAGAAAGCTTCATTTATTATAATCACCTAACTTTACACCAATGTATTCACACAGGACAGAAACCGTGTAAATGCTTGGACTGTGGAAAGAGCTTCATTCACTACAGCCATCTAACTTTACACCAAAGGATTCACACAGGAGAAAAACCATATAAATGTTCAGAATGTGGAAAGAGTTTCAGTCAAAGTGGAAACCTTACTTCACATCAAATGATTCACAGAGGAGAGACACATGTAAGTGCTTGGAATGGAGCTCAAACCATACTGCTCACCAAAGGATTCATATTGAGGAAAAATGATATAAATGTTTAGAATGTGGAAAGAGTTTCAGTCAAAGTGGAAACCTTACTTCACATCAAATGATTCACAGAGGAGAGACACATGTAAGTGCTTGGAATGGAGCTCAAACCATACTGCTCACCAAAGGATTCATATTGAGGAAAAATGATATAAATGTTTAGAATGTGGAAAGAGTTTCAGTCAAAGTGGAAACCTTACTTCACATCAAATGATTCACAGAGGAGAGACACATGTAAGTGCTTGGAATGGAGCTCAAACCATACTGCTCACCAAAGGATTCACACTGGGGAAAAACCATAGGAATGTTTCCACTTTAAAAAGCACTTCTGCTACACCAAAAGCCTTACTTTTCCACCAGAGGTTCACACCGGACAGAAACTATGCAAACCAAGCTAAATTCGGTCACAGTAGTCGCATTTGCCATCCTCTCTGGCATGGTTACATTACAAAAGCTTTAGATATGTTCTCGTTGTAAGAAAGACCGGTCTTACTTAAACACCTGGGGAAGTGTATAACAGACTGTGGTTGAAACTTTAATCAGAAGTGATACTGAGGGGGCAGAGAAATGGAAAGATGAAAAAACCCCTACCTTGGTTTCTTGGAAAAACAAGATTTGGGAACATTTTCTATTGGGGAAAATGGCCTCACAGAATGCGGCACTCACCTCGGGCAGTAGTTTACGTAAATTCCAAGCAATTTGGTTTCCAATGATCGCATATCTATCTGAGGGACACTTTGTTCCTAATAATCGTCATTACCAGAAACTCTTATTCTTTTGAACTATCTAAAATTGTGTTTGTTTCTCAGTTACTGTATAGATTGTCACTTCTATATTGTTAGACATGAAGTATTATCCACTCATGCAGTTTACAGTTTGTGTTAAATGTTATATTTTCAAAAAATTATAAAGTCTTTTAAAAAATGCAAGCAGGGGGAGCGTTTTATGCTGCTTTTCATACATATTCCTTTTATTTGATCGTAGCCATGTTATGGTATTTATGTTACTACCTGATTTCCTTGGTCACGGTTATGCCATCACCAGTGCCAAATTGATTAGTCATGGAAATTGTGGCACTGGAGATTGGCTGAATGATAAAATTGGTAAATTTTAATGATTTATTTAGAGTCCACCTTTCTCACTGAGGCTCCTGACTGGCCTGACTCTCAGAGCGGTTTCTGTTTTCACCTTTGGTTTGCTTCCACCAGCTGGCCTTTGTAGGAATTACCTGCTCAGAGGGCCAATATTCCAGCCTCCCTTTCTGCATTGCTGTTCTGCAGGGGTCGTTTCGTAGAAAAAGAGCTAGGGGAACTCATTAGCATATGCCACACCACCTGACATCCTAAGGCCCGGCAGTGGACCTGCAAGGGTGGCGGGAGTGCGAGGAAGCCCCGCTAAGGCCCTCCCTGGCCCCAGGCAGGCAGGGGTGGGGAGAGGCGGGGAGGAAGCAACTTACCCTCCCTCTTCTCCTGCTTCCTCCTGGCTGAATGAGGGCCGGAAGCTGGGTGGCCGAAAGCAGGGGGTGGGGCTTCGTCGTGTGCCCCGCCCCCTGCACCTCACCCGGGGGAACTGCGATCCCCCGCGATCCCCCCCGAATCGACCTCTGCTGTTCTGAGGCTCCACCTAATGCCTGCATCTCCTATGATACAACCACTGGTTACCATGGTGACATTTTACCAATCTCATGCATGCCTGGGGAAACAGTGATCTAGTAACAAACTGCCACCTTTTCCCCCGGTGTCCTTTGAACAGCAGAGTTGTATGTGGTTTGGAGAATAACTGGTGGTGGGAAGTGCCATCAGGTTTCAGCAGAGTTATGGTGACCTTGTAGGGTTTTCAAGGCAAGAAGTGATTTGCCATTGTCTGCCTCTGCATTGTGACTCTGTACTTCCTCAGCGGTCTCCCACCCAAACAATAACCGGGGCTGATCCTGGACCATCCAGGTCAGGGCGGAGAATACCTATAAGTGTTTAAAATAACAAAAAAATTTCAAAGTAAAAAGTCCACACACGCACTGTACAGCAACAGACTGAGGCTTTGCCTGTCCCTTGGCTCTATATGGTCCCTTGGCTCTATATTCAAAGCAAAGATCTTTAAGCTTAGATGTTACTCTTGTGTAAAAGGCATCCAGTTACCTTGGAATTACCTGTCCAGGCAGCCAGCCCTTTTTTCTGTTCCACATGGCAAAGCTGGGCCATCAGTATGGAGCCCAGGTGTGAGAGTTCCTTCCTCCACATGGAATCAGCCAAAATGGATCCCTTTACTTCCATGTGGGTCAAATAAACTTTTCCTGAAATCTCCTGGAAGATAACTGTCTACCTTCTCATACCTGCCAAGTCTTTGTGTTCCTTCTAGGTTTCTGATTCCAGTAGAGGTGTACCTAGTTGTTTCATTGTCTCCAGCCAGGATGGCCATTAGCATTTTTAAAATAATTTTTATTACAAGTAACATCATAAAAACAATCATAGTGCTGAATACAAACAGATACCAAAGCAAAGATAACTGACATATACACAAAACCAGGCCCTGTATCCTCAACCAAACTTAGCTGCAACCGTTTAGTTTTCATCAGACTAAATGACGTGTCAATCCTTATGTGTGGCAGAATGATGGCTGATCTTGAAAAGAGCCAAGTGAGCTCTGCCAATATTTGTGTTAAGCCCTATTGTAAGAACATAAGAGAAGCCATGTTGGATCAGGCCAATGGCCCATCCAGTCCAACATTCTTTGTCACACAGTGGCCAAAGCCCAGGTTCCATCAGGAGGTACTGGGTGCAAATGACTTCTCCCTCCTGCCTGTCTCCACCTAAGATAGAGAAGAACCTTTAAAACTCGGGTGTGTGTGTGTTTCAAGCCCAAATCCCTAAATAGATTTTTTTCTCCACATAGCTCTATTTGTGCATCACCTTTATAAAAATTGCCCCCCCCCCCATTCTGTGGGGCTCTAGGCGATCTACAAATACACACATGGAGGGACAAAACCTGCTGAGGGAAGATCAGCATGGCTTCCGCAAGGGGAAGTCCTGCTTCGCCAACCTTTTGGAGTTCTTTGAGAAAGTGAACAAGCATGTAGACAACAGTGAACCAGTAGACATTATATACTTGGACTTTCAAAAGGCTTTTGACAAGGTACCTCACCAAAGACTAAAGATGTGAAGGCCCGGGGAAAAATGGAAAAATTCGGGGGGGGAATGTTTCCCCCCCCCCATTTTTTCCCTGAAGCCTTTTTTTTTTCCGAAAAATTGGCAACACTGAAAAAAGAAGAGAAAGGGGGGGGGGAATGATTATGGAACGTTTTATTTTAACATGATGAATAAAATATTTTAAGACCAGGTGTTCAAATATTTTCCAAATCATTTCTAAAAAATATGTATGTTATCAGAGTGATCTAATTTCTGTGCACTGAGGACAAATAAGTCCTAGGTTACCAACTGAACTCTCCAATGCAAGAACAAGATGCATTTCTTCCTTTAGGACAGGGGTGGCGAACAAGTTCGACAAAAAGAGCCAAAATTTTAAACTGTGAGAGTCAGAGAGCCACACCACGCAGTGACCTGCCAAAACAGACAAACACTCACAACTGTACCCCACAGCTGGCAACTGTACCCCACATCCTGGATGCAGCCTATCCCTAGGGGGGAAAAAAAAAAAAATTCCGTTTTTCCCTGAAAAAACCCGGAAAAAACTGGGGTTTTTTCTCGAGCTTCAAAATTTCCGGAACTTTTACATCTCTACCAAAGACTCCTGAATAAATTTAGCAGTCATGGGATAAGAGGATAGGTTCTGTTAAGGATTAAAAAATGGCTAAATGACAGGAAGCAAAGAGTAGGAATCAATGGACAGTTTTTCTCACAATGGAGGGAAGTAAGCAGTGGGGTCCCACAAGGATCAGTATTGGGCTGGTACTATTTAATTTATTCACAAATGATCTGGAACTAGGGGTGAGTAATGTAGTGGCCAAGTCTGCAGATGACCCAACATTATTTAGGAAGGTGTACCCCAAGACTCACCGTGAAGGGCTCCAAGGGGATCTCCTTAAACTAGGTGAGTGGGTGATAATGTGGCAAATGAAGTTTAATGCTGGTAAGTGTATGGTGATGAACATTGGGACAAAAAAAAATCCCACTTTCAACTATAGGCTAAAGGGGTCTAAACTTGCTGAGACTGAGAGGGGAAAAGACCTTTGGGCCCAGTGTGCTGCAATGGTGAAAACGGCAAATTGTATGATAAGGATTATTAGGAAAGGGAATATTGTGTTCAGTTCTGGTCACCGTATCTCAAAAAGGACATTGCAGAAGAGAACAACCAAGATGATTAGGGATTGGAGCACCTTTTCCTAGGAGGAAAGGCTGAAGAGTCCGGGACTTTTCAGTTTACAAAAAGAGACAACTAAGGCGGGACATGATAGAGGTTTATAAAATGATGCATGAGGTAGAGAACACTGACAATTTTTTCTCCCTCTTTCCCAAAATACTAGAACTCAAGGGCATCCAATGATAGACAAAAGGAAATACTTCTTTACACAGAGTTATTTAAATGTAGAATTTGCTGCCAGAGAATGGAGTGATGGCCACACAGCTTTAAATGGGGATTTAGACAGATTCATGGAGGATAGGTTTATGTGGCTACTAGCTATGGCTACTGAGGGGAACCTCCACATTCAGAGGCAGTCAACCTCTGAATCCCAGTGCCAACATCAGGGGACATCTATGCTCTGTTGTTGGCCATCCAGAGAAACTGGATGGCCACTGTGTGAGACAGGATGCTGGAATAGATGGACTGGTCTGATCCAGCAGGGTTCTTATGTTCTTAGGGTCATCCGTATTTCTAAGGCTTTGAATACCTCTGCATGAGGGAAGTGTCTCACGCAAACTTGAGCCTCCGGCTTCCTTCCTACTAACCAGCATTGTATCACCTCTGATTGGAATGTTATGCCCCCCTAGTAATGTGTGGTAATGATATTTTATTTTTATTAGAGCTAGGAACCCCAAAAGCAGGAAGTCGCCCAAGCCTCCCTGGACCTTTGAGAGGATCTGGACCTCCTTTGTAAAGGATAAAAAACAACCAGAAAACATGCTTTAGCATGTCAAGAGGGAACGGGTCAGTCTAGTTTCTTTCCTTATGGACTATTTTTCTGCATGCAAGGAGATTTAGCTACAGGAAAGTTATCCTAATGCAACAGGCTCACCCACAGACTAAAGCGGTACAGTCCAGGAAAAGTTCTTCCATTCTTGAACTGAGACTTTTTCTTGCCTAAACAACAGAACAGTAATACCAGGCACCCTTAATTAAGAACATAAGAGACGCCAATGTTGGATCAGGCCAAAGGCCCATCCAGTCCAACACTCTGTCACACAGTGGTCAAAAATACCAGGTGCCATCAGGAGGTCCACTAGTGGGGCCAGGACATTAGAAGCCCTCCCACTGTTGGCCCCCCCAAGCACCAAGAAGACAGAGCATCACTTGCCCCAGAGCCATCTACAGTTTGGTGTAACGGTTAAGAGTTGCAGACTCTAACCCGGAGAACCAGGTTTGATTCCCCACTCTCCACCTGAAGCCAGCTGGGTGACCTTGGGTCAGTCACAGCTCCCTCAGCCCCACCTACCTCACAGGGACTCTGCTGTGGGGAGAGGAAGGGAAGATGATTGTAAGCCGCACCGAGACTCCTTCGCGTAGTGAAGAGCGGGGTATAAAACCAACTCTTCTTCTACTGGCTCCTCCCAAGGATCAATAAAGGCCGGTCCCGACTTTGCACAGCTCCTCCTCCTCCAAGATCAGAACCTTTGACACCAGCTCGGTCTGTATGCCTACAGCAGGAAGGCTGGGCTGTGCCACCTGAGAACGGGGAGGGGTGGGGAGTCTTGCAAATAGGTAAGCGAGCCGCACGTCAGGGACGGAGTTTCTGTCTTTGCCGGGCTCAGAGCGGCAGGGGAAGGGCGGAGGGGTGAAATCGCAGCTCTTGGGTCTTCTGTCCTTCCATTCGGCTTCCTCGGGGAAACCGGAGAGTTTCTGACAGCCCACAACAAGGGAGGGGAGGGGCGCGGCCAATCAGCACCTGGCTGGGGAGTTTTGGAAAAGGACGAAGAAGAACCGTCGGTGCCTGTTAGCCCCATTCCCCACCACCGCCAACCAATGTTCCCTCTACGCTATGGAGTTCTCCTGTGAGCCAAAATTCTACTTTGTGAGCTACTTGCATTTAAGTTGTGAGCGAGCGATTTGGCTGCTGCATAAATTAGTTTGCTCCGGAGCCCTCCTTCCTGAGCCGAGACAAAAATGTGTGAGCCGGAGGCTAAAAAACTGTGACCTAGCTCACACTAACTCAGCTTAGAGGGAACACTGCCCCCAACCCCCGCGAGTGCCTGGTCTTCCCCTGTTGCCCTTCGACTCTGCCGCTCCTCCCGCCTGCATCCAGCCTTCGTCAGCAGCAGAGGTTTCCCGGCGGGTCAGTGAGCGCTGCCCTCGCCACGCCTGCCTGCCTGCCTGCCCCAGAGACCCCGGGAAGCATCTCCCGCCGGCCCCGGGAACACCCGCCCCTGGGATGCTGAGGAGGGAAATGGCTCCCTTCCGTCGGAGGCGCCTGCAAATGCTGCGCCAAAGGAGACTTTCCCACCCCGAGCCGGTTCTCTGGAGTGGTTTCGCTTTTGCAGCTGTACCCCCCCCCCCGCGCTTGAGTCAGTCTGCAGGGAGGGAGACGCCCCCCTCGCTGCCTTGGGAAAGCTGGGACGGGAAAAGGCGGGAAACGATCTCTGCTTTCTCTCCTCGAGGCGGCCATGGCGGCTGAGGGTCCCGTGCAGGAGCTCTGGGAGGAAGCCTCTTGCTCCATCTGCCTGGACTTCTTCAGGGACCCGGTGACCATCGCCGAGTGCGGCCACAACTTCTGCCGGGCCTGCCTGACCCGCAGCTGGGGGGAGTCGGGGACCTCCGAGCCTTCCTGCCCCCAGTGCAGGAGAAGAGCTCAGAAGAGGAAACTCCGGCCGAACCAGCAGCTGGCCAACTTTGTGGAAATCGCCAAGAGGTTCCGCCCTTTGGAAGGGGAGGGGGCAGAAGCGAAGGGGGGAGTCTGCGAGAAGCACCAGGAGCCCCTGAAGGTCTTCTGCAAGAAGGACGAAGCCCCCGCCTGCGTGGTCTGCGGCCTGTCCCAGGAGCACAGAGACCACGAGGTGGTTCCTCTCGAGGAGGCTTTCCAAGAGAACAGGGTGAGACATCTCTGGAGGCAGACTTCCTGGCGTCCTTGTGTGTGGCTCAAAACTTCACTTTGGTGCAAAGGTCTCTCAGGCTTAGTCTGGTATCTTTTAATGTAAAGTTATATAAAATATAATATTACTAGAAATAAGGCCCGTTGTGGAAATAAATACAACAAGATCTAGAAAGAGGCTCTGGGAGAGTGCTCTGGCTTTGGGCAAACAGTGTCAGTCTGCTTTTAAAACATGAACCTGGGACCTGCACACCACCAGAATACAGCAGGTTCCATATGCAACTGACATTCCAACTGCCTTGGGGGGGGGGGGGAGTTTGAGGTGTGGAATGGAGTGAAGTCCAATCAGCTTCCATATGCAAAAGACCAGGTTGTCGCAGCAGTTGTGGTGTGGGCGGGACCCAGGCTTTGCCTTCTGATTGGTGGCGATATATGCTGAGGAGCAGTGCCATCAGCCATACACTAAGGGAGTGCATTTTAGAATTAGAACTTTGGCACCCACTATTCAATTATATATAAGGAGAGATACTATTTCCTTCTCCCTCCACACACCACCTCCCCCGTCAGCCACAAAGTAGCTTGTAAAGCAGTAGCTAGTAATAAACAGACCAAAAAAAATGTTTGAGAAGGGGGTTTTCATCATAATGGGGGGGGGGCTGGCTGCCACCTCTTCTGTTCCTCACCCCATCTTATAAGAACAGAAGAGAAGCCATGTTGGATCAGGTGAGTGCTGTCACACATTGACCAAAAACCCAGGTGCCATCAGGAGGTCCCCCAGCAGGGCCAGAACTCCAGAAGCCCTTCCACAGTTGCCCCCCAAGCAACAAGAATAGAGAGCCTCACTGCCCCAGACATAGTGTTTCGTCTGTACCTTGTGGCTAATAGCCACTGATGGACCTTTGCTCCATATGTTTACCCAACCCCCTCTTGAAGCTGTCTGTGCTTCTAGACATCACAGCTTCTTGCAGCAGTGAATTTCACGTGTTCATTACTCTTTGGGTGAAGAAGTACTTCCATTTATCTCACCAGGAGATCACCCTTTGCTGGCAGCCCACTCAGTATTGGTGCCCCACCCAGCCTTTCACTGACAGGCCACCATTAGCTGGGGATCTTGTGCGATAGAATCCTATTTCTCCCCACATAGGGTGTGGCCTTTCCATTTTTTTCAATGGCCATCCCCTTGGCCCCCTCCCATACTGAGATGGAGCTGTGTGGCCAGTCCAAGAGGTTTCGCTGCCCAAGGAAGCCACTGTCCAGGCCACCAAATGTGGGCCTCTGAAGAAGTGGGCCTTCCAGCATTGTGGATCTGTCATGATTATGAAGGAAGGAGCAGAAGGTAAGAAGGGTGTCCATCTTGTTCCCAGAAACTGAGCACTATACAACTGGCAAGGTTGGCTGGGTCAGGGCTAACTTTGTGCCAGGTCTCAGAGTTGGGCCCCAAAACCTGAAGGTAGATGTCCTTAAAGAGAGCCTCTGGGCATTCCCCTGTGATCGAGATGGCCAAAACTAAGAGCAAGATGGTGACTGTAGATCTGTTGGCTGAAGGGTTTCCCTGAGGGCAAACGGCCCTGCAGGAGATGGGGGGGGTGGGCTGTGAGGTTCATTCTGAGAATTTAGAAAGGGGAGTTAAGGGGTTTTCAGGTGAAACCACAAGGAACCCACAGGTGTCTTGCATACCGAATCCTTACAAATCCAGGATGTGAAGGAATGTCTCTATTATTATTTATTGTTATTATTATATTGTATTTTAAAATATAGAAGAATTAAGATTCAGGGAGGGCAAAATTCCAAATCAAACTCAAGTTAACTCGCATCAGAATGAGTATCAGCCTGTTGTGCCAGTATCGGAATCATCCTTCATTTGTAACGTGAAGAGTGTTCTCTGGAGAGCCACCTAGCAGGAGATGCTGTCTGTGAGAGGGTGGACATTATGGTTGGGAGTTAAATCTGAAAGGTGTCTTAAAAACCGATCAGGGTCCATCGTATTCATGCAGGTCCAGCTTCACTGCTTTACGGATTTGGATCCACTTTCGGAGGTTTGTCATCCAAGCCCCCCAGGAATGTGCGCTGAAAGAAAGGAATAGGTTGGTGGTGTTTGGGGGCTCTACTGGAACACTGCAAAAAGCAGCTCAAAGCAGGTGCAAGGAGAATGTGCTTTACCTGGTACTGGGATTTGTTCGTTGACTTTCAAAAGAATTGGAGGTTTAATAAAAACTCGTGTAATCCCAGTTTTTCCCACCATTCTTAGCTGAGGGAAGACAGTACAGGACCTGGGTTTGTTAATGAAGGGGGGGGGGAGAATTACAACAAAGAAAGCAGCGGTGTCTGCAGCCCACTGGCCTTCACTTCCTAAGAGGGAGGATGGCTAGTAGGCAAAAAAGGAACTCTTCAAAAACAGCTCCCAGACCCTCCAATCACTGGCAACCATTTACAAGTAGATTTTAACATACAAGTAGGGTTTAATCCCAAGTGGACAGATGGGGCATCAGAGGACGCACACATAGCAAAGTCAAATGTAGGCATTGCAAGCAAAAGTGGGAACCAAAGAGGCTGTGCAGTGTTCCCTCTAAACTGTTGACTTGTGAGTAAAAAAAATTATGTTGTGAGCCAAAAAATCTACAAGAATAAAAGTTGTGAGCAAGCCTAATTTTTTAAAAAATTAAATTTCATTTTACAAACACAAAACGTACAAGCATGAAGGAAGGGAGGAAATAGATGGGGAGAGAGGAGGAAGGGAAGGAGGAAGGAAGCAGGGGAGAGGTGGAAAGAAAGGAAATAGATGGGGAGTGAAGAATGAAAGAAAGAGGTGGAAAGAAAGCAAATAGATGGGGAGATACAAAAGAAGGAAGAAAAAAGAAAGAGAGGGCCCCTCTAATGGCAGGTAGCCATTAGAATGTTCTGTTTGGCTCCCCCCCCCCTGCTTCCAAGTGGGGGGAGCCAAAGGGAACGCTGAGTTTCCCACTCTTTAAAGCCCATCAGCTGCTCCCTTTAAAGGGCGGGCACCTATTAGAGTGTTTTGTTTGCCCTCCCCCACTGAGGGGGTGATATGAGAGCATTGGAAGTTTGCAAGGTTAAGAATTTTTGATGTCCTGCTTAATTAGAATGTTTTCCTGATTGAACCGAAAGAATGTGGTTAATTTGTACTGGAAGGCAGTTCCATCCTTAGGAGAGCTTCAGCGAAACAAGGTTAGTGATAGCTGACTCACTTGTTGAGACTGGGACTGCGTCCAGAACCTTTTCATCAGAGACTATCGCTGGAAAGTCTTTGCTACTCAAAAGGACTGTTCCTCATGGCAATTCTTTAGCAAGGTCTTTTGTTCAAGTGTATATTGTTATATTGATGTGCAAGATAGTTTGTATTGAAGTCTATATTTAACTGAACGAAGAGCACTAATTATATCCAGTCACTACAAGGAGAGGTACAGTTCTGGGGGTGGGAAATGAATCCTGTTTTTTTGTTTTGGACATCAGGCAGTGGTGGCAGCTGGAAAAGGGAAAGTTTGCCAGAAGCACCAGGAGCCGCTGAAGCTGTTCTGCAAGGACGACAAAGCCCTCATCTGTTTGGTCTGTGACCGATCCAGGGACCACAGAAATCACGAAACCCTTCCTCTTGAGGAGGCCTCCCAAGAGTACAAGGTAGGAAATCAAAAACATGGAGGATGATGAGGAAGAGCCCTGGATCCTCCCCTTCTTCTTGGTCTCCCCTTCTTGCTTCCTCCTTCCTGGCTAGGTGGCTCCCTTGGGCATTGCCTCCTTCCCCCCCCCCCTGCGCTGAGGCTAAAGCGGCTGTGTTAACATCTGACCACAGCCTATGCCCTGACCAAGCTAGGAGGGGGCAGCTGCCTGACTCCCCGCTTTTTAAAATTATTATTAAAGATTTTATTTTAATTTTTTTATAAAGACAAACATCACGTAGACAAAACACACAAATACATAAATGTGGGGGGGGGGTTCAGTTACATAATAAATTTACATGCTTAGTTACTTCATACCATATTTGTTTTTCATGTTCCACCTTATGTTCTTACAAATTTTTTTTGCATATTTTAAATATAATTTTTGTAGTCTATAAAAGGTTATATATCTGTATACTTTATTGTATTCTTCAGTCCATTTCAAAATCTACACCATGTAGTTTCATACATACACAAGGGTTTACCTAAGTATCTAAATAGTAGGGGATTTCATTACCTTCTCAAATTACCTATTTAAATACCTCAATACTTGTTTTCCAAATTTCACCTTGTATTCTTACAATGATCTTTCACATATGTTTCAAAAAATAATTTTTATACTCTTTTGATAGATTTTCCGATGTTTCAACTCATTTATGTAATTTTGAACAACTGTATAATATCTATAATATTCAGACTTTTAGGAAATCTAGAGGGACTGTGTTTTCTCCCTTATCCAAAAATTTGATGCTTGTGTGTTCTCTCTTATCCACAAAATTTTGGAGCTTTTCCATAGGATTTCATCCTCTTCTTCATTCTCTGATTTCTCCTCTTAAGTCTTAAAGTCTTAATTTTGTGAGTTTTCCCTTGTAGATGAAACACGTATATAGATGATAACCATCTATAATCAACTTTTAAAGTAGTTTGAGGTTCCGTATATTCTTTTTTCTCTCTTTGAATAAATATTTCATTTGCTGGTTCAATAATTCTATCTCTTGTCATTCTTTCATGGGGTCTCATGTTCAGTTCTTCAGTCAGTTTGTCTCTTTTTGGATATGTTTTGTAAGTCATATCAATTGGATAATAGACTTCATCTGTATCTTCTATATCCACAGAAATAAATGTCACATCAGTTTGCTCTTCCTTCTGATTGATGCTCTGCTGTAAGAGTAGCTCAAACTTAGGTCCCAGTTTTAACATACACACACCCACACATACATGCTGCTTTCCCTATTTCAATTGCTGTCCTTGAATTGCTGTCTACCTCATGGCTGGGGGAGAATATGTAGGTTTGGTACCTGTCTGCGTGTCGTCGTCCCCCGTCCCCCCGCACACAGCAGCTGTGAGGTAGCTATTTAAATCAGAGCAGCGTTGGAGCGTGGGTGGGAGAGCTGCGTATGAAGTGGCCTCATTCTGAGTCAAAACCTTGGTCTCTCCGGGTCCACTCTGACTGGCAGCAGCTCTCCAGGGACTCAGGTGGAGGTCTTTTCACATCAACAGCTACCTATTCATTTCTACTGGAAATGCCGGGCATTGAACTCAGGACCTTCTGTTTGCCAAGCAGATGCTCTATCACAGCCACGGCCCTTCCGCTGCACTAGGGAAGGAAGGAATCCCCTCCTTCCCACAGCTGTGGTTGCTTCCACACAGAGCTTTCCCTTCATTGATGTGCTCTTACTTGGAAGATCATCAAAGAGGGTTTGGGAAAGGGTGGACCAGAAAGTATGCATTTCCACATACGCCCCAGTCCAGTGCCGTTTAACCTCCCACCTGGCATTCTCCCCTGCCCCCCAATGAGCTTTTTGCTGTTTTTAAAAAAATTCTCCCTACTGGGCATATTTCTGTATTGTTAACACAACATAGTGATATACAGACTGTGTATAATATTTTTTCAATGCAAAAAATCCTCCTGTGGCAGGGGTGGAATGGTGGGCAAAGAATGGAGTCAGTCTCCCCAGAGGAAGCAATGTGGCCACTGGGAACATTTTTGCACTGATGTTTGGGCACCGTTCCCATGAGAAAGCTCGCTGTGTTTAGCATTTGGGAAATGCTTTTAAAGATCCTGTTACAGACATGGGGCAGTTAGATCTAGTTTGGCCCTTAATGGCAGTTTTGCTTCTTGTATGTTTTATAGTAAACTTCTAAAATGGAAAAAAAACACTCAGTTTTGGGTCATCCCCCACTGTCCCCCCAGGATCAGCTCTGCAGCTGTCTGGAGATTCTGAAGAGAGAGAGAGAAACAATTGTGGCATCTAAAGATGATGTGGAGAAGGAAAGCAAAGACCTGCTCGTAAGTGTCACTGTGGCTGGGAAGTGAAGAGATTCTGGAACTAGTATTGGGGGAGGGAACAAAGTCCAAATAGCAGAGAAATCAACCCAGGTGACAGCCTCACCCCTTCCAATTTGCACATTCCTTCACAGATGGTCAGTATTAAGCAGTTCCAGGCCTCAAAGGTAAACTTAACACTGCAGTTACAAGCAGAGTTATACCTGGGCTGGGGGTGCCACGGAACTGCACACTCTTGGTGCCCCTGGGACTAGGCGATCACCATGGGCCACCTGGTGGGCAGTCTGCCCCTGCTTGTTCATCCAGGTCTAGACCCTTTTGTTGTTGTTGTTGTTCTCAGCTGTTTTTGTTTGGGGCAGAATCAGTTAACTCCCCAAGGCACTCTTTGCTGTGGGGTGAGTCCTCAGCAGATGAACATCTGTGTCCAGGCCCCATTTCTATGTGTGCACCAACACTGCAAGCCAGGAGAAGTCTCTGAAAACCACGAACCTATACAAACCTCCATTCTTTTGGTCCGTGCCCATCCCAAGTTGGGATACTCAGTAACATGCTGATTTTTTTTCTCCTAAAGTTTTTCTTGCCCAAAATGCGGCCAGGGGAGCTGCAGTTTAGACTGGGAGACAAAGTGAGGGGAACGGGCTTCTTAGCTCTGTTCTTCCCGGCGGTCTTTCTACTCAACTGTTGTGTCTCATCCCCTTTTGGGAAGTTTGGGGGTCATCATGTGGAGGGTGTTTTAGTGGGGAAACAAACCCGTCTGAAGAAGCCCCTTCTACTCTCTGGGTCTTCTGCTACAGACTTAATCTGGTTGAGATAACCCCTCCAGAACTTTGAGTGAAACCCATGTGTGCATTGGGCCTTAAGGATGGGTCCTCGGGGAACTTTCTCTTTCCCATGTTCACTGTGATCTCTGAAAGGCCAGAGTGCCCTTCCGATAGGGGGTCTCCTAAGGTGCCTCTTCCCACTATAGAGACCGGCTGTGTTCCTGATGCTGGCCTGCTTTTCTTCTCTTCCCCTCTCAGAAGCAAACCACAGGAGAGAAGCAAAAGACATTAGCCAAGTTCAGGCAACTGCACACATTTCTGGAGGAACAAGAGAAACTTCTGCTGGCCCAGATGGAAGAGGTGGAGAAGGAGGTGGCAAAAAACAAGGACCAACTCCTGGCCAGACTCTCTGAGGAGCTCTCCTCTCTAGAAAGCCTCATCCGGGAGATGGAGGAGAAGAGTCAGCAGCCAGCCGGTGATCTCCTGCAGGTGAGGAGGTGGCGGGAACAGCCCAGGCACCCCTTGGGGAGGAGGCTGGCTCCAGACCCTGTCTCGGCTTCTGCTCTTCTCTGGAGCCCTCCTTTGCTCAGGCTGAGAATCAAGAGGCCGTGACTCATAAACGTTGGTGGTGTGGGGAGGGTCAAGTTTGCTGAAGTCTCTGTTCCAGGATGGCATTGAAGTACCCTTTGCTGGTGGATCCCTCATTCAGTAGGTAATGTGGCACCATTTTAAAGAGTTTCTGATTGACCAAACGTCCAGAGGAAGCTCTGGGGTGACCCTAGTGGTGAAGAAGGGATGGCCGTTGGTTGAGAGGTTGGGGAGGTAGAGCAGATAGATGGAGGAATCTCTGAAGCATGTGTATTTTTTTAGGTGAGCCCGTTTGGTGTAGTGGTTAAGTGCGCAGACTCTAATCTGGGAGAACCGGGTTTGATTCCCCACTCCTCCACTTGCACCTGGTTGGATGACCTTGGGCAAGCCGTAGTTCTGATAAGAGCTGTTCTTGAAAAACAGCAGTTTCTGTCAAGAGCTCTCTCAGCCCCACCTTCCTCACAGGGTGTCTGTTGTGGGGAGGGGAAGGGAAAGGAGTTTGTAAGCCGCTCTGAGACACCTTTGGGTAGTGAAGGGCGGGGTATAAATCCAATCTCTTCTCTTCTTCTTTTTGTGTGTGTGTATGTTTGAGCAAAAGATCCAAGTAATAAGAGATTGGTGGGTAGCTCTTTAGGACAACCAGAAATGAGGGCTCTATGCAATCTCTTATGTAGCAGATCACGCAGCTCTGCTAAGAACATAAGAGAAGCCAATGTTGGATCAGGCCAGTGGCCCATTCAGTCCAACACTGTCACACAGTGGCCAAAAATACCAGGTGCCATCAGGAGGTCCAGCCGTGGGGCCAGGACACTAGAAACCCTCCCACTGTTGCCCCCCCCCCAAAGCACCAAGAATACAGTGCATCACTTGCCCCAGACTGAGAGTTCATATCTATACCTTGTGGCTAATAGCCACTGATGGACCTCTGCTCCATATGCTGTCCATGCTAGTAGCTGCCACCACCTCCTCTGAAATGGCTTCACTGTGCCTGCTGATGTCATTCACTCACGAAGAAGTTCTCCCATTTTATGAAAAGCCAGCTCCCGTCCTTGAGTTGGACGCACAGTAAAAGGAGTTAAAATTCATCACCCTCCAGGATATGAAGGGGAGACGGGCAGTTATCAACTTTTCTTTCTTTCCCCTTCTTTAGGATGTCCGAAGCACCTTGCAGAGGTGAGTGGATCTGTCTCTCTTATTACTCCCCTGATGCTGGGATGGATGTGGGTAGCATGTGAAGAAAGTGGCCCTTCAGGCTCAGGACCGCAGTGGATGTGACTAGGACCACAGATCTCCATCCGTTTGTAAATGGCAAACTGCAGATGAACACAGTCCCATGGGGAAAAAATCGTGCCCCCAAACAGCAGGGGGGTATTTGTGTCAGGGTTAAGACCTGGCTGTGCATTTCTAGAAGGTTCTGGCAGAATTCTGGTGCTGAAGCAGGGGTGGTTTCACTCGTCAAACAAGCCCCTCCAGCCTTGGGAATGCACCAGTTGAGTTTAGTCACCTCAGCTCTTTCAGATCCACAAAATGGCAGGTGGTAAATGTGCTGGGGCTCAGGTGGTGTCCTTGAAAGGGCAGTTCTCTGCCCTTGAAAGAGCTCTCTCAGCCTCAGCACCTACCTCACAGGGTGTCTGTTGTGGGGAGGGGAAGGGAAAGGAGTTTGTAAGCCGCTCTGAGATTCTGAGTGAAGGGCGGGGTATAAATCCAATCTCTTCTCCTTCTTCTTGGTTGGCGTCTGGGCTGCCTAGAGGGCCACTTGAGCATCAAGCTCCGTGATGACCACTCTGCCCGGTCTTGGGTGCGCCGTGTGTGAGGGAGGCTCCTCATGAGGAAGCAGGAGTTAGAGCTTGTGCCACCACACAACACTTAGAGGTGTTTCTCTTGTTCAGACCAGACTAGAGGATTTCACAGCTGCTGATTGGAAACTTCGCCTCTCTGATGTACATTTCCCCAGAAACTTTTAGAGGAGGAAGGAACATGATGTGACCTTACTGGGCTTGAAGTTTCCACGCCTCACCCAAGTTTCAGGCGATTGAAAGGAGCAGAAGAAAGGATGCTTTTGAGGGCAGTGATTGCCATGTAACGTGTTGTAGGGCTGAGTGGGGAAATGAACTTGGGCCCAGTCCTGGCCCAGCTCTCAAACCACTGTACCACAGTAGCTTCCTTCTCACCCTAAGCAGATGGGAAGTATGGTTAAAGAACTGCTGCTGTTGGACAAAAGAAATCCCTGCTCCTCTTGACGTCTGATTTGGCCTTGAGATGCTTGGCTTTGGGATCTCAAGGGTAACTGCAAGGGGGGGTAGACTCTTTCCTTTCCAAAGGGCTCTCCCCTCTTTCTCTGCTATCAGCATCGACCAGTATCTCTAAGCTTTCTGCGTATTCCTGCCTTCATTTCTTTGCTCTACTGGTGGGAATTCTGGATTGGATAGATAGATCAACATGGTTTGTCTCCAGGTACGAAGAAAAGGAGAGGTTTGAGAATCCCGTGACTTTTCCTCTTGCGTTGAAGTGGAGGATCTGGGACTTCTGTGACATCAATCTCTTGCTGGAGGGGGTCATGAAGCAGCTGAAAGGTAATAAAGAACAGCTTCAGAGAGGTCATGAGATGAGGCCAGATACGAGTGTGGAACCTTCCAGGCCACTCACTAGCAGGGCCAGGTAGACAGGGAATTCGTATGCCAAATCTGAAGGCCATTTTGGTTCACCATGGAATGTTTTTCTGATCAAAATTCCTCCTGTGGCTTTAGCACACTGTTGCATTCTCTGGATTTTCTTACAGTGGTTCTGCATTTAGATCATTTGATCATTCCCATGCCCATGTGTTGTTGAACTGAGATGTCAGGGCAGAACAGCCCCCCCCCCAAATGAAAGAGAGGGGAGGAAGTGGACCCTTCAGGGCATCCTCACTTAATGGAAACACACTTTTGGTCCCTTTCAGGAACGTGCCCCTTCTGTGTCTGTGGCCAAATTGGACTTCTCAAAACTCGCCACTTGGACTGAGTGTTTCATTTGCTTGTATGTGTCCTAGCTGAGCTAACAGGATGGTCTCAAGGGGGTGACAGTGCTCTTTTCAGCAGAGGGACACCTTCTGGGTCCATTGAAATCAGTGGGATTTATAAGGGTGTAATTCTGCCTAGGATGGTACTGTGAGATATTCTGTGTCTGAAGAAAGGTAGCCAATACCTGGCTGGAAGGCCACCAAGAACCCCATCTTTGCTATCCTGAACATCTTGAAGAATGTCAGGAGAGAAACGTAGCCAGTAATTTACCTCTGCTAGTAACCGTTCTGTAACATTTATCTCACCAAATTATTTCTGCCGTGAGGAGTTCCCTGGAGAAATGTTCTAAATCGATGAGTTCTTTTGCTGAATGTGAACTAAGGGAGGGCTGAGCATCCTGGACCAGAGTCTGGATGAGACGTGCAGAGATGGCCTCCTCCCTTCCGTTCTCTGCCTGGACAAGAACACCCAAGTTGGGTCTCTTCCTATCCTGTTGCTCTCCAGGCTGTTTTGCCCTTTTCCCCACAGTGGGTCAAGGTGGTTTTTCCCCCTAACTGGTAACTAACACAGATTAACAGTATAAAAATCTGTTTCCATGATTTAGAATTGTCATGTTTTTAAAGAATTTTTTAAAATTCATTGCGTAGATAAGGGGAAATGTGCAGCCTGACTTTAAAATTCTAATAGCTCTAGAACTATGACATTATAATGAAACATTGCCATAATTAAAAAAAATAAAATGTCTCTAGTTCTTTTCACGGCAGAGAAATAAGGGATTCACCTTCCCTTTTGCATCCTCACAACAAGAAAGTTTGGACACTTTTAAAAATAAAAGCTAAGAATTTGGAGGAAGTAGCAGTTCGAGACCTGAGTACCACATGATGGAATGAGCACCCATCTCTGGTTCCAGCTCCTGCCAACCTAGCAGTTCGAAAGCAAGAAATTGCAAGTAGATAAATAGGTGTTGCTTCAGTTTGAAGGTAACAGCGTTCAGTGCGCCTTGACATCTAGTCATGCCACCCACATGATCACGGAAATGTCTTTGGACAGCGCTGGCTCTTCGGCTTAGAAATGGAGATGAGCACCACAACCCTTGAGTCGGACTCGACTGGCTTTCGAGCAAGGGAAACCTTTACCTTTACCTTACTAGTAGTGTAGAAAGTAGTAGTAGGAAAATAGCAGCCACTGGGAGAAGGAAGGCAAGGAAAAGGTGGGACATTTAGAAATGTACACTTTTCTATCCCCACAGCATGAAAAAATACCTTTTGTATCAAACAGGATTTGGGTAAGTGCAGAGTCAAAGCAGTGGAAATCCCAGAAAGCGGAGGATTAGGTGATAGCATTGTGTGGGTGTCCCCAAGAGCCCACTCCAGTATGGATGCCAAACTAGAACAAAATCTCTGTGTGGAAACATCCTAAACTTCTCTGGATTGGACCCTTGGGCTGCAGTCCTTAGCATGCTTTCTGTGAAGCAAGTCTGAAGCAACTCAAAGCAGTTAACATCTGGATAGCCATGTTCAGGATCATTCTTTGTCTCCTTTAGTGGATGAGTGTCAGTTTGCCAAATGTGATCCATTTTTCCTTTCTGGTCTCAGTCCAACGTCAGCCCTAATTAGGAACAGGGAGCAAAGTCATATTAAGTGTAAACAAATTTGAATATTTGCACACCAGTAAAATTTGCGAGAGAATTCATCCCTCAAGTGACTGTTACTTCACCCTTCAGCTCAAATTGAGGGGAAATGTTGTTAACTGATCATCTGCTTGTTTTCTGTTCCATTCACTTCCTCAGACAATCTGGATTCTGGACTTCACCTGCCGAAAGGTACATTTCGTGCACAAATCAATTATTTCTAAACTAAAAGGCAGCAAATTCCATGTTTTACTCACTTGTTGAGTAAAGAAGTATTTCCTTTTGTCCTGTTGATTGTAGCATGGTCCCTGAAGCCCCTGGTTCTCTCTGAAAGTCACAGGTGTCTGATTCACACACAGAATTTCCACTCTCCTTCCATCCCCCAAGTTCCCTATGCTGTGAAGCACAGAAACTATTATGGGGGCTGCTTTTGGTTTTGCTTTAAGGGGTACACCTGGAATGACAGGAAAGGAGGGATATATGCATTTTAAAACAAATAATTACAGGTTGGTTTTAAGGTTTGGAGAGAAAAAAATTGTGGGTCCTTTGTCAACCTGCTCTTAGCTTTTGCTGAGATTTCAGACCCATTCCAATTGGAGATGGAGAAATTCTGGCCAAAAGAGAAGAACCTTCAAATCTTGAATAGCCCTGGTGTAAGTGGTTAAGTGTGCGGACTCTAATCTGGGAGAACCGGGTTTGATTCCCCACTCCTCCACTCACAGCTGCTGGATGACTTTGGGCAAGCCATAGTTCTGTCAGAACTGTTCTCTCAAGGACAGCTCTGGAAAAAGCTCTCTCAGCCCAACCTACCTCACAGGGTGTCTGTTGTGGGGTGGGGAAGGGAAAGGAGTTTGTAAGCCGCTCTGAGACTCCGAGTGAAGGGCAGGGCATAAATTTGATCTCTCCTTCTTGGAAATCCTAATGATTTGAGCAGAAATTCTTGGGATACCTCTAGGATCAAGACTAGATCTACTTTGCAAGTTCAACCCATTCTTTCATTGGCTCACTTTCATGCGATCAGGGTGTTTGTGTTAAGTGCTTTCCCACATGTGATTTTTCATTTTGTTCATAATGGTGGATGAGATACAGAGTGATCTGTGCTTCTCCCTCAGGGTACTTTTTTGATACAGGATAATGGGGGACAGGCTTTATTCACCTGGGTTCTTGCGGTCTCTCCAAGCCCAGGAAGCTTGTTCATCCTTACATAGGCCAGGGGAAGGAAGGAATGCCTGTGAAAGTCCAGCCAAGGGTTAAAACTGAAAAGAATAAGCTACAGTAGGGGAAGTGTCTAAACAACCAGCTAGGTCAGGGAGATCCACAGGGAACGGACATACCTGGGACACTAACAATAGTGTCTGATGGGAGTGGCAAACAACCCTACCATTTGTCTCCCAGCTGAATCTGCTTCGTTTCTGTCTCCTCCCCTCCCCCCAACAGCAAATGTGATTCTGGATTCGGACACGGCCCATCCCGAACTCATCCTCACTGAGGATTGGAAAAGTGTGAGAAAAGGAGAAGAGGCTCAAGATCTGTCCGACAATCCTGAGAGATTTGATGAGAGCTATATTGTTCTGGGCCTTGAGGGATTCACAGCAGGCCGCCACTTCTGGGAAGTCCTTGTGGGAAGTGAAGGGGAATGGAGTGTGGGGGTGGCCAGAAAGTCCGTGGACAGGACAGGAGAGGTCTTCTTTGAGCCTGACGAAGGGTTCTGGGAAGTGGGGAGATATGATGGCTGCTACAATGCTTCAATAGAGGATGGTACCCTGACCCTGAGTGGAGAGCTCAAGAGGATCCGGGTGTGTCTGAACTACCCTGGAGGGCGAGTGGCCTTTTTCGATGGTGACCGAGCAGCCCTTCTCTACGAGTTCTCTGAAGCCTCCTTCTCTGGAGAGACCCTCCTGCCCTCCTTTTGGGTAAATTTAAAAGGCCACCTCCAACTTTGTTAAGACAGTCATTTTGCACATGGCCATTAATGAAAATAATATATCTTAATATTCCTGTTTTATAGCTATGCAAAGGTCTTCTCCAGTGCCCCAATCAACACAGCTGTGGGGCAGATGTGGAATGGGGGATTAGTGCTAATGGAGGAATGTTTAACCGTCCCCCGTCCCCTTTTTGTGATGTGAAATTTTCTCTTTTGGCCAGTGTACATTACATGTGTTTGGAGGTAGCTGGTTTTCAATGTGTTTAGATGCCTGTTAGTATTAAAGATTTCCTGTTGCAAGTTTCACTTGAAAACATACTTGTGGGAGGGAGTCCTGAGAAGGCTGGGTAACATAGGCAGATACATCACAGCAAGTGACATACACTCACAGCATCAGTTTCTCTTCATTTCTGCAAAATCATAAAGTTGGAAGGGGCCTCCAGGGTCATCTAGTCCAACCCCCTGCACAAATATCGAAGAGATGACAAAAAACCTCCAGGATTTCCCTTCAAACTGGCCTGGAGAGGAATTGTTTCTTGACCCCAAAGTGGCGATCAGCATTTCCCTGGGCATGTAAGAAAGGGCCACAAGAACTAAGCACTGAGGCAACCCTTCCTGCGCCATCTAGCCTCTTGTTTGAAAACCTCCAAAGAAGGGGAGCCCACCACCTCCCAAGGAGGCCTGTTCTGAGTTGCTGAGGGGAGGAGTTCCAAGATGGCGTCAAGGCAGCTGCTCTGACACACGACGCCACGCAAGTGACTTGCACATTTGTTATTTTATCTTATTTTACTTAATTTATTGCTGGACTTTTATGCAGTATAATTACTTTCTCAACAGTGGTCTGTAGCAGCATGTTTTTAACACTATTTTGATAAGCCGAAGGACTTGTGGAGGAGTTTTAGCCTTGAGAGCTTTCCTTTGAGCGTTTTTGCTCTTTTATATGTGCCAGCTGTTTCCTTTTTGAGTGCAATTTCTTCAGTATATATTATACGAACTCTGAGCCCCTGCCTGCAACTCCAGTTTCCTGCTACTTGGCTTAAACGACAGCAACACAGTAACAAGTTTACCTTAAGACAGATGATCTGCTTACTGCAAGGACAGTGGAGTTCATCTTTGCAGAGCTCCGTTTATTGCACTCAAAGCTGGATAAGCTGCTAAATGACTCTAATTTTACTCAAACTGCCTCTGCCTCTGACCGTGTTGAGAATCCAGCTGTTTTTAGTTTTGAAAAGCATCCTGCCGTTTGTCCTATGAGGGAGGGGCTAGTTAAGCTACCTCCTCAACAACAGGAGAGGAAGAGGGAGAGAATAGCTCCCTCCCAACTTGTCTGGCAGCCACATAAGACTTGTTTACAAATTTGCAAGTCTAAAGGATTTGTCCCATCCTGGAGAACTGCTCCACTTGGTAAGAAACATTTAGTGGATTTACTTGGAAAGCGTATTGGTCATGTGGATATAAAAACAGTGGAGCTCCTAAATTATAATACTCAAGCTCAGAGGGTTCTACTTGCTTTCCACAGCCCTAGTATTCCCAGGCTGCTATTTCGCCAGAAAGCTCTGCTAAATTTCAAAGGAATTTTCCCTAACCGTGTTTTTAAAAACATAAAAGCCTATGCTTACCCCCTCTAAGAGAGTGCGGGACAATATAATTGCACCTGTTGTGTTTAATAATGATTCTGCACCAACAGATTCTATTGTTCCTGACTCTAGTGCATCAAAAGATTTAAGAACAGGGAATGACTCTATTTCCAGCCCCTGCCTTTTGGATAATAAGTTACTGGATGAGGAAATTCTGGAATCCTTTAAGGCTCTACCACTGGGTGAGCAAATGTTGGTTATGGACAGAATGGAAGTTGTAAGAACTAACTTATTTAAAAATATGTTGGATAAGGCCAATACCTCCTCTGGCTCAACGACAGGGGCCGAAACTCTATTGGTTAATGAAGAATGTACTGCGATCCAGGTTCAAGCAGTTGTTCATCAATCTGAACTCCCTGGTACCATCTTTCTATCTGTATCAAGGGAGGGAGGTGACTTCAGCTCTAAGCCCTTGGGCATAATGGACCTTTCCCAGCATGCTGATATTGTTAGCAATGGGTATGTCAAGAATAATGGGTATGACAATAATTCCGTAGATCAACTAGTTGAGACGGACTGACTTCCGGATAGCTCTCCACCCACGATAATCAAACTTGTCTCCTGGAATATAGCGGGGTGGAGGAACAAGGCCAATGATCATGATTTTATAGACTATCTTAAATCCTTTGATATTGTCCTTCTACAGGAGACTTTGGGCCCTAACTCCCTTATCCTTTGAAGGATTTATATCTCACTCCCTTTTAGCATCCAGGGCCAGCAGTGGAGGTTGCCCCCACACAGGCTTAACCACCCTTCTCTTAACCCTAATTTAAGATCCATTAGTCTACAAGATTGCCCCCCCCCATTGCCCAAGCCACTTTGATAAATAGCGGAAACTTCTCTCTAATAATACTGAACATCTGCATCCCACCCTCCTCTAACAGATCCGCTTGTTTACTTATTGGTGCAGTTTGGTCTCTTACCTTGAACAGCTAGAAAATTCCCTGATGCAGAAATAATCTTAGCTGGAGATCTCAATGCCAGAGTTGGTAATGATATTTTG